GAGGATTTCACATCAGGCGACTACGTGTGCGGCGACTGTGGCCTTGTTTTGGGCGACCGCATTATAGACACCCGGTCCGAGTGGCGCACCTTTGCAAATGAGGAGGGCGATGATCCGTCACGTGTTGGAAATGCGGCAAATCCGTTCCTGGACGGTGCGCAGCTGGACACCGTGATTGCGCGTGGCGGCGACAACGGATCGGGGCTGGCCAGAAACCTCAACCGCACGCAGGGGCGCACGACCGCGCAGAGAAATGAGCGCAACCTGGTGCAGGCCTATAAAGAGATATCTGCCCTGTGCGACGCTTACGATATGCCCCGGTCAATAGTCGATATCGCGAAGCAGTTATACAAAAAGGTTGAGGACGACCAGCTGCAGCGCGGCAAGAACAACGACGCCATCATCGCCGCGTGCATTTTCCTTGCTTGCCGTCAGGAAGGAGCGCCGCGTACATTCAAGGAGATCTGCGCGCTTACCAAGGTCGACCGCAAGGACATTGGGCGGACGTTCAAGTTCCTCAAGAGCAAGCTGGGGACAAACACCGGCACAACGTCCTCGGACGACCTGATCGCGCGGTTCTGCTCGAACTTGAACCTGGGGCAGGAGGCGCGGATCATCACGCGGCTGCTGACACAGAAGGCAAAGGACATGGAGAACATCTCAGGAAAGAACCCGGTGTCGATTGCCAGCGCGTGCATCTATATGGCCTCGCATCTGATTGGTGACGGCCGTGATGCAAAGGCGATTTCCGAGATCGCTGGCATCGGCGAGGCAACGATCAAAACAACATACAAAATTTTGTATGTCAACCGTAGCGAGCTTTTGACGCTCGATATTCTTGCGCGTAGCCCACAGGCCAAGGAATCAAACCTCATCACGCCTTAGACTTTGTTTTTTCTTTCTTTCTCCATTTTTCCCCACTAATTTCAAAAAGCTTTTTTGTTCCCTAATTTGTCATATTTTTCTAGTACTAAAATGTCGAGGCTTACTTACAGGGACGTTTTTTGGTTTGTGCCCAATCTCATTGGCTACTCGCGCGTGTTCTTGACGATAGTCGCCGCATTTAGCATGTACTACAAATGCCCAACTACAATGTTCCTCTCCTACGCGCTCTCCGAGCTCCTTGACGCAGCCGACGGCTACTACGCGAGAAAGCTCAATCAGTGCAGCAAATTCGGCGAGGTACTTGACATGGTCACCGACCGCTGCACAACAACAATTCTCCTCACCTACCTGTCCGAGCTCTATCAAAGCAGACCCCTCGCCATCGTTTTCAACCTGCTTATCGCCTTGGACATCAGCAGCCATTACATGCAGATGTATAGCCAGCTCATTACCGGTAAAACAAATCACAAGCAGATGGACGAGTCCGCACACTGGATTCTCAAGGCCTACTATACCGACCGGAGGGTCCTGTTTGGCTTTTGCTTTGGAAACGAGGCCTTCTTCCTCCTTATGTACATGAACAAGTTCCTCGAGGGCTACGCGTTCTATATCTCGGCTCTTTTCACCGCCGCCACTTTCCCGGTCTTCTTTATTAAGAACGTTATCAACCTTGTCCAGCTCTACGAGTCTGCAAAGGATCTTGCCAAGCTTGATGCCGCGACTCTCAACAACGACAATGCAGTTTTGGCTGCTGCCACCAACGGCTCGTCCAAGCAAAAGAAGCAAAAGAAAAAGTAAATAGCATTGAATTAATGAATGAATCAATGAATCAATGATACTACTAATAGATTTCAATGAGCTTTGCTGATCGTGATCTGAGATAGAAACTGTGTAGTAATTCAATGCTACAACACAATCGATGAATGCTGTTCTTAACTATAGGATAGGGGCTGAAGGGTTGCTATAACTGCGGAATACCAAATATAGTCAACAGTAGATACTGTCTAGGGTGGTATTATTATCATAAGGCAAAGGAAGAGGAAGAGGGAAATAAACCCAAATAGCTGCGAGCAAAGTGTAACTATTTTTTGTGCATGGCAAGCAATTGTGTTGAAACTATCAGCCAGTTTATGCTTTTCTGCCATTAAATAGTACTATGTTTACACCTGATTATATTTTTTCCTGCTTGGTTACCAACCATATACAGCTTTTCTATTTATTTTATAACGTTTTTCTAGTTTGTCTGTTTAATTAGAAAAATCGTAATTAAAAAGAAAAGTTTTATAAACTAACACCAGAAACAAGACCTGTTTTGGTTTCTGGCCTATCAAGGCCAAATACCCGGGCTGCTTACTTGTTTCTTCAGCTTGGAGGCCAGCCACTGGCGCAATACAACATCAGGACGCGCAAGCCACTCTCATTACTCCAGAAAAACTACACTGCAAGTAGTTGAATTACATAACTTACTCAAAATACCACTTGAGCCAAAGCACATAACCCCCAGCATGGATGACAGATAATCCATATGCTGAGGTGCAGAAAAGATTTAGTACGCTATTCCTCTGCTTGCCCACAAATCCAGTGTTTCTGGCTGCTCGTAGCCAAAATTTTTAATAGTCCCACAGTATAACAGTTGGAATAGCCATCCATCCTAATTGAAGCTTTGGATATGGCGAATGGACCCAACAGATGATCCAAAACATTAATAATTAGGCCGTGGGCCACGGCCAGGCTGTTTAGGAGAACTACAGAGCCCACACTAAAGCTAATTTAGGTGGTAAAATTATCCCTGGCAATGCAATATTTGCGTGCTGGAAAATGGTATGGATTCAACCTAGCAGAAGAGTTAGCTGGCCAAGCTGATGTTTTCCTATGCTTCCTTCAGCCTTAACCAAAAAACACAACAGCAGTAGATAACATTCTCAGTGATATGGCACCACCAGTCTATTACATTGGCCTAAAGGCTCAGTGATAAATAGCACGCATTTACTGTCGTATTATATTATATCTAGAATCACCGATAGTACATAAGATTCACCAACAGTGCTTTTTGTTTATTTATGCTACAACAACGGTGCGAGTTGCTATTTAACAATGTTTACAAAGAAATGCAATTTTCCAAATACAGATGTTGCTATAAAATGAAAAAACTAAAGATCACATTCAATCTAAGCCGCGACATATTGCTATTTATTAATTCCTCACATTACTTAGTGACAACAAAACGTAAACAGCTTGAGCAGTTTATTAATATCCTCTCTATTGTTATTTTTATTCTTCATTTTATTCCGCAACAAGTATAACAGCAACAGGCTAGTACCGCAAATGCCATCAAAGCGAGCAAATCCAGCTCTTGGCTCATACACGGCTATTTTCTATGAGGATAGCGAGGAGCAAGAAGAGCAGGGTGGAGCGACTCCTTGCTCACGGAACATGGCAAATATTCCTGCAGCCGCTCCTACTGAGCATATACCAGAATTGAAGCTGCTTTTCCAGAATCTACATGGGATTGGTGTAGGCAATAAGAAGACTCTGCCAATAACAAATAAGTGGATTGGCTTGGAAAAGCCTGCTGCTATAAATTGCAGCGTAGTTCGATGCGAGGATAAGCTTGGGCGGCTCTACAATGCGCTAAAATGCTCATCACCCAGCCTGGAGCATGTAGTAGATGTTGTGTTTCTGCAAAAGTCCATTTCTACTGCTCCTGCATACCTGCTTAAATCTCACTATCTAGAGCATCGGGCATTCCCTTCCGTGCCAGGCACAGCAAATAAATTTCAGCTGGTGCCAGTAACAGCAAGGGAGCCTTGGCTAGAAAAATGACCAAGCCGTAGGAACCACTTATGACAGCCATCCTTGTACGTAAGCGCCTGAGTACAGCATTTAGCCAAACTGATGTTAGCTGCGCAAGAGAAACTTTTACCACAGCTTCTTTATATGGCTTGCTACTCCTTTCATTACATGGCCCTTCCAAAAATAATAAAGGTTATATTTGTCCTTTTCACTAAAACATTATTGATTTCTTATTGAGATACATCTACAATGACTGGATACTACTTGTTGGTGGCAATTTTAATGTCGCTCCATTTCCAGGAGACCGCAAAATCAACTCGGCAAGAATGACAGAGTGCAATACCCTTGAAGTGGATATTGTTCTTCTCTATGAGAGCGCACTTGGAGTTTTTAGTGCAGTGGATTACCTGACTCTGCACCTAACTCCGAGAGTACTACCTAGATACCTTACCAACGCACGTGCAGGTTTGTTTACACGTAAAGATGTGAGAGGTACAGGTGTTGCTATAAGCACTTACGCTGCTAGGCTAGGCCCGTTCTTGGTTTCTGACACGGGGCTGGAATGCAAAGGAACATATTATGATGCTATTGACAAGTGCAATTTTTCAGATCATAAGGTGCTTATTATCGTCCTTGCAGCCTAGCTTCCTTTGGAAAAAGTAGCTGTGCGCTTTGAGCTGACCCCTGCAGGTTGCAAAGACAACGACACAATCGAACTTTTCGACAAAACACCGGATGACGTCAAGCCCTGGGTTATACGCACTGTATCAAAAAATTTCAATTCTATTTTTCACTTTTGCCACATACACGCGAGTAGTATGTTCAGCCAGTACAAGAAAGGCAAAGTTTGATGATTGATTTTTTAACACTCAAAATGGCGAAGTATATTGTGCATAAATATAACGAGATTAAGTAAACATAGTTTAATAGTTAACGAGAGGTCATGCGAGAGATGCCCGGCGTTGGGCGGCCGATTCTGCCGTGGCAGATGAAAGCTCGGTGTTAAAAGTATCAACATCGTCTGGCTGGTAATTAAATTGTATGTGACAAAGGCGGTGATCGGTTTCGTAAGAGAGTGGGGTGAAGGGTAATTTTCCACTTGACTCTTTGTCCCCCGGATTGAAATGGAACCACTGGTTGGATACCTGCAGCCAGCGTTTCTTGAAGATGTGTGCCTTTTTTAATTGTAAGGGAGTTTGATAATTGATTTTTGAAAAAAAAAATTCAGGGACTAAGCGTTAAATGGGTATTATTAATAAAAAGGGAAATACCAGAACAAAAAATGGATCAAAAATTCAGTCTTTTATAAGGGCTGTTTGAGTGGGGACTTAGCTCAATTGGTAGAGCGCTTGATTCGCATATCCGATCAGACGATCAGGTAGGAAATTTAAGAGGTACCGGGATCGATGCCCGGAGTCTCCAAATATTTTTCTTTTATCTATCACATTTTTTTACATTTATGAAATTGCCAACTTATAATGCTTTTTTCCAACACTTCTGCTGCAAATAGCAGAGCGTGTAGCCCACTGCTATGCTGCATTACAAATATTTAGTTTTTTTGATTAAGCCAAGGCTAAATGTGGAACGACTGCATGGGAGATTATACATTGTCAGCTATTTGTAGAAAGAGCTTGCAATTGCGTTCTTTTGCAGAAAAATCGCATTGGCAGTAGCGGCTTGTATTGAAAATACTGAGTTTGACTTTATTAGCTGGCCAAAGACGCCTAATACATCTGAAAAGGAAATTGATATACTGTGTTTTGCAAAAGTAAATGCACATACCCAAAAAGGAGTTTATGTATCTAAAGATATTAAGAGTATGATGGAATACAGTAAGGCTATGTTGCAAGGAAGGTGGTTTGTGATGGATGTGCGTCTGGTTTGCGCTGGATGTGGGCTAGTTTGCGTTCAGAAACAGGAGACATGGGCCTAGTAGACACAATGAAAAAGCGCTTACAATTTGCCTAGTATTCCCCATTGCGACAAACAACTGCATGCTGCCAACTGGTTGCTTGTTTCATACAACAACAGCTAATAATCAACTGCTAATGCTTTTGTGCTCTCCATTGGCTTTCTTTCTTTTTTGCGCCGACGCAAATGCTACACGCAGGCGATTTACCACGCTGCCGCAAGCTGCACTTCCCATGCAACGCAAGCTGCCTGATCCCCACCGCTCCCTTGGTATCTTTAGACGCGCAAACTCGTTTTTGGGTACGCGCGTTTAGTTTTGTATAATACAATAGTCTCCGGAAAGTGAGACTAGATAGCTCGTGTATTCAATCTATCGGACACAAAGAGTCCGTGTTAAAGTGCTTGTTCAAAAGGAATAGCAATACAGGCAATACTACTAATACAGGTCATATCACAATACCTTTAGATAAAAGAAAGATATTTAACAAAAGTTTGAAAATGCTATTGCAGTGGTTATTTAATTACTAGTAAATCTATAGATGCTTGTGGATTACGTGCCAAGATTTCGGGAGTAATAAGCTCTTCGCGTCTCTCGTAAAGAATCCTGTAGGTTTGCCGAATAGTAGACTCACTAATGCCAGCAATTTCCGAAATATACTTTACATCGCATTCAATGCCAAGCAACTGAGTGACCATGTGAATGCAAGCGGCAGCAATGGAGATTGGGTTTTTGCCAGAAATCTTGTCAAGGTCCTTTGTTTTTTGCGACAATAGCTTGGTGATAATCCTAACATCATTGCCGAGATGTAGATTGGAGCAGAACCGTGCAATGAGGTCGTCTGATGATGTAGTTCCAGTTACTGTTCCTAGTTTGCTCTGTAGAAAAGTCAATGCTTTCCTGACCTCTTTGCGATGCACTTTGGTCAGAGAGCATATTTCCTTGTATGTGCGTGGAGCACCGTCCTGCCTACAAGCAACAAAGATGCATGCTGCAATAAGCACATTGGCTTTCTTGCCACGATATATGCTGGGCTCACTCTCAACTTTCTTGTAGAGCTGCTTTGCAATATCCACAGTTGACCTGGACATATCATATGCATCACATAAACCAGAAATCTCCTTATACGCCTCAACCAAGTTGTGGTTGTTTTTACTGCTGCCAGTAAGGCCCTGGACGCGATTCAGCGTTCTAGCAAGGCCAGAGCCGTTGTCACCACCACTTCCAATGACAGTATCGAGCTGGACACCATCGAGATACGGGTTGGCTGCCTCGCCAACACGCGATTGGTCGGGACCATCGCTATCCTGGAATGTACGCCACTCGGACTTAGTATCTACAATGCGGTCACCCAAAACAAGGCCGCAGTCGCCACAAAGAAGGTCGCCTGATGTGAAATCCTCAATAAGATTTAAAGCTGAAGTAGTGCAGTACGGACATTCCAGCTTTACGCAGAATTTCTCATCTAGCTTGCTAATAGACATATTTATAAATAATAGCTTCAAAATAGAAAAAAGATAATAAAAAAGAGAAAGAAAAAGTGGTAAAGAACAATTATTATACTGCTTTTTATTTCTGTACAAATAAAAAATTACAAAGACCAAAATAAAACGATATCGCCTTTCTTTATGGAATCGGCAGCATTTCGACAGAAAGCCATGGATACAATGCTAGCATCTGTTCTGAAACCAATAGTTGACGGTCTGCATACAACAGTTTGTACGAATTTTTAATTGTCACTTCACTGATGCCTGCTACATGTGATATGACTCTAGCATCTCTTGGTTCCCCGACAAGATGCGATGCCATATAGATACATGCACTAGCAATAGACACAGGGCTTTTCCCGGCCAATGTATCGTGCTGCTTGGTCGCTTGGTTGAGCACCATTGCACATTCTTGAGCTGATGTCTGCAGAGACAAGGTAGAGCAAAATCTTGCCAGCAGATTGTCAGATGACATGATGCCGGCATCTTCCCCCAGCTTCTCCTTTAGATACTTGAATGTGCGTCCTATGTCCTTACGCGGTACCTGTGTTAGTGCGCAGATTTCCTTGAATGTCCGAGGCACAGCCTGCTGTCTACATGCAAGGAATATACATGTAGCCACTATAGCATCAGTGCTCTTTCCTCTTTGATAGTTCTTTTCAACGACCCGCCCGTAAAGACTGCGCGCAGACTCGCTAATGCTTTGCGAAACATCCATATTAGCGCACATTTCAGAAATTCTACTATATGCTCGTTCCAAGTGCTGCTCATGTCGCTGTGCAACGGTCTGGCTGCTTCTTTTGCTGCTCCGCGACCTACTCTGCAAAGCTTTAGCTAACGTAGCATTCCGTTTAGTGCTAATGCTAGCCGTACTGCCATCGCTTCCAGAGCCACTATCGTACGGACTGTTTGTCGCTGTCGATTGTGCAGAAATAGCAGCCGACGACATCAAAAGCCTTGCACCATCTATGTGCTGCTTTTGTTGAATACTTCTGCTTGAGATAAGTCGATCGCCAACAACAGAGTTACAGTCGGCGCAGATAAGATCGCCGCTTTCAAAGTCGTGAATAAGGTTTGGAGTTGTGTTACGACAATCTGGGCAGATAGCTGTTAAAGGGCCTGCTGCTACAGTTGCTGCAGCCAATGCTACCATCGTAGCTGCCATACTTGATGTCTTGGGTGGCGGCGATTCTATTGCACCTTGACTATATCTAGAAGCAGAAATACCAACCGCAGATTTGATCTGTGTTGGCAAGAATCCTTGTCGTTGAGATGTGACTAGTTCTGCAAATGGCATTGTACAACAAATATAATAATACCAAATACAATGATCCTTATAAAAGTATCAGTTATTATAGCTAGAAAAATAAAAACGAATAAAACAAGAAAGGGCAAAAATTTTTTGTGGTTGTTCCAGTCTCTAAAAAAAATAGCGCCCCAAGATTTTAAAACACCCAATCATCTCTGACCATCCGCAGTCTATACATTTTGCAAAAAAGGCTTTTTAATCAAATACATCATAGATCATGCAATACTGGATTAGTTTATCTCTAGATAGACTCTTTCGTCATCGTCGATATCCATTGACGTCTACTTTTTTCTTCTCTCACTCACGCCTTTTATGTTTTATTCAAATGTACATTCTATAAAATTCTCTATTCTCTATTCTCTATTCTCTATTTCCAATTATTTTACCGAACAATAAATGCTGCGCTGTAGCCGAAAAGCGGTATTATCGCTGCCAAGAGTGTTGTTGCGACAGAAGCGCACAAGCAGTATTCAATTTCGCCACTCTACTCGTCGTTTATCATCAAACACAGCCACTGTCCTGGGATCACTATCGCTGGTCAGTGGTGGTATATTTGTCCTTGCAACAGCCGATCAAGGCAGCCCATACGATGCTACTGAACTTCATAGCAATGAAGAAACTCCATTAGGCGAAACTGCTGGCTTAAGTTCTCAGCCCAGCATCCTGAATGAACCTGGGTTAATTAAAAAGACGTGGCTGACTGTTTGTAATAGCGGCGCTTATGTTTGGCGGGTAGTAATAGTGGACGGCATACTAGAAATACTGTTGACCACGATACGATCAGGAGAACTTCTGTTCCGTTTTGTGCCATTGCTGCTGGTATATCCGGTAGTCTGGTTTGGTACACGCGATCCTAATCGCGGAAACGAGACCGCAGGGGCTTTATGGTGGTATCGCTTTCTACGTTCACAAATGTCAGGTGCTGGTCCGACTTTTGTTAAACTATCTCAGTGGGCAGCCAGCAGAACCGACCTGTTCAATGCACAGCTCTGTCTTGAGCTTGGCCGACTTCATGACAGTAACACTGCCCATTCAAGCAACTACACAAAGCGTGCAGTCATGCAAGCTTTTGGTGTAGATAGCATTACACAGGTGTTTGAGTCGTTTGACGAACGGCCGCTAGGTGTTGGTGCAGTAGCACAGGTGCATAGTGCACGCTTATCCAAAGAATTTGTTGGAAAACACTTGAGCGACACTGATAAAGCTGGCCAGCAAACAAATCGTCATGTGGCTGTAAAAGTGCTGCATCCTGGAGTCGAGCGCAAGATTAAACGAGATTTGCGGATAATGAACTGGGGTGCGCACGTTCTTGGTACGCTTCCAGGAATGAAATGGCTTAGTTTACCCGAAGAAGTTGCAGTGTTTGGCGAGATGATGGAGTCGCAGGTCGATCTGCATGTTGAAGCAAGGAATGCAGAAAAGTTTTCGACTAATTTTGCCAATCGTCGCGGCGTCTTGTTTCCCCATACTTGCTTGCCGCTACAGTCGAAAGATGTTTTGGTGGAAAACTACTGTGATGGCGTTCCTTTGCGCGCATTTTTGGACATCAATGGACACACGCCGTTCGACCGCAAGTTAGGCGCCACTGGGCTTGAGGCATTCCTACGTATGCTTATTTATGACAATCTTGTTCATGCCGATCTGCACCCAGGAAACATATTGGTCAAGCTCTCTCCACCATATGTCGGTTCTCAGTTAGATCGCTTTGTCGAAGATT